TGAGGATGGAAGGCAAAGGGGGGTGAGGGTGGAAGCCAGTGTAGGGATTGGAAGAGGGAGGTTGCCGACACTGAGCGGTTGGTTAGGTGAATGAGTCTAGAAGCTGCCTTTTGATAGACTGAAGGGGGGAGGAGCCTGTGTAGAGGTTGGCCAATGGGGAGGGAGGAGGGAGTTACAATAGTCCGGACGAGAGATAACAAGGGAGTGGATGAGTAGTTTTGCTGTGTCATTGGTGAGGAAGGGGCGTAGTTTGGAGATGTTAGGAAGGTGAAGACGGCAGGATTTGGATAGCGATTGGATGTGGGGAAGAAAGGTGAGGTCCGAGTCAAGGATGACACCTAGCACCTTGGTATGGGGGGAGGGGTGGATAGTTGTGTTATCAATCTCAAGGGAAATGTTGGGGGAAGGTGCCCGGACGGGAGGAGATATCATGAGCTCAGATTTTGAGAGATTGAGTTACATCCAGACAGATATGTCTGTTAATAGATTAGTGACACGCAAGAGGTAGATTTGAGTGTCATCGGCATAGAGATGGTATTGGAAGCCATGTGAGGTTATTAACTGACCAAGAGAGGAGGTGTACATAGAGAAGAGAAGGGGTCCAAGGACAGAGCCTTGGGGGGCCCCTACAGGAAGAGGAGTTAGATTTGTAGGTGACACTAAAGGAGCGCTTAGATAGATAGGAGGAGAACCACGAGAGTATATGAGAAAGAGTGATGTCATGTGACCTCCCAGAATCCTCCTCACCTCTCCTGTCAGCAGGTAGATGATCTCCAGGGTGAGGGCCAATATCTTCTCAGTCATGTGACTTTGGTCTTCATCCATTGTCGTTGATGTGGTCATGTGATCTATTCAAGAATCTTCTTCCTGTAGACGGATAAACTGAGAATTATCTGGACTGTACCGGGATGGACAGTTGGATAAATGTCTCTATATTTAGGATGTATCTGGTCTATAAATGGCGGCTCTGGATGGACAGTTGGATAAATGGTTCTATATTTAGGATGTATCCGGTCTATAAATGGCGGCTCTGGATGGACGGTTGGATAAATGGTTCTATATTTAGGATGTATCCGGTCTATAAATGGCGGCTCTGGATGGACGGTTGGATAAATGGTTCTATATTTAGGATGTATCCGGTCTATAAATGGCGGCTCTGGATGGACGGTTGGATAAATGGTTCTATATTTAGGATGTATCCGGTCTATAAATGGCGGCTCTGGATGGACGGTTGGATAAATGGTTCTATATTTAGGATGTATCCGGTCTATAAATGGCGGCTCTGGATGGACGGTTGGATAAATGGTTCTATATTTAGGATGTATCCGGTCTATAAATGGCGGCTCTGGATGGACGGTTGGATAAATGGTTCTATATTTAGGATGTATCCGGTCTATAAATGGCGGCTCTGGATGGACGGTTGGATAAATGGTTCTATATTTAGGATGTATCCGGTCTATAAATGGCGGCTCTGGATGGACGGTTGGATAAATGGTTCTATATTTAGGATGTATCCGGTCTATAAATGGCGGCTCTGGATGGACGGTTGGATAAATGGTTCTATATTTAGGATGTATCCGGTCTATAAATGGCGGCTCTGGATGGACGGTTGGATAAATGGTTCTATATTTAGGATGTATCCGGTCTATAAATGGCGGCTCTGGATGGACGGTTGGATAAATGGTTCTATATTTAGGATGTATCCGGTCTATAAATGGCGGCTCTGGATGGACGGTTGGATAAATGGTTCTATATTTAGGATGTATCCGGTCTATAAATGGCGGCTCTGGATGGACGGTTGGATAAATGGTTCTATATTTAGGATGTATCCGGTCTATAAATGGCGGCTCTGGATGGACGGTTGGATAAATGGTTCTATATTTAGGATGTATCCGGTCTATAAATGGCGGCTCTGGATGGACGGTTGGATAAATGGTTCTATATTTAGGATGTATCCGGTCTATAAATGGCGGCTCTGGATGGACGGTTGGATAAATGGTTCTATATTTAGGATGTATCCGGTCTATAAATGGCGGCTCTGGATGGACGGTTGGATAAATGGTTCTATATTTAGGATGTATCCGGTCTATAAATGGCGGCTCTGGATGGACGGTTGGATAAATGGTTCTATATTTAGGATGTATCCGGTCTATAAATGGCGGCTCTGGATGGACAGTTGGATAAATGGCTCTATATTTAGGATGTATGTTATTACCTCCTCTTCTGCCAGTTTCCTCTCTTCTACCTCCCAATTTACTATTCAGTTGGAACTTCCTGTTTGCATATTACATCATATCCTGTTTATACTTAATATCACTTCCTGTCTGTGCCTCTTAGCACTTCCTGTCTGTACCTCTTAGCACGTCCTGTCTCTGCCTACGACTGACTCTACGTAGGGTCACCTCCCGGTGGAGGATATAAAATTTGCAGCTTTGACGTCTCTTTCTGGTTCGTTCTGAAATCTCATCGTCTTCGAACCACGTTACGGGATGGAAACAATGAGAACGTTTCATGAAATTTAATTTTGTTTCAAAAGTAGACAGTTTCTGATCCTCGATGTGCTACACACCCATCAGAACCTTCATTAGAGTACAGGGGGTGTATGTACGTCTCACCCTGTTGCCCCTCTCACCCCACTCCTGGCTCCATCTAGGGGCTCCTTAAACCGTCCCATCCATCCGGACAGACTGGATTTAAAATTGGGTAACGATCTCCAGAGGGTCAAGAATCATTTTAGTTTCACTTTAGAGGATTGGAGACGGGTGAGGGGGGCGGGTTTGTCATGGTGCAGCATTTTTTAGGGTTTCCTGTAAACCGTCCGGAAATGTCAATTTATAAACTTGTTAGCCGGAGGGTGTCCTAATGAAACCTAATGTTGGGTTTGTTGTGCTCCAGCAGGAGACCTCGGCAGTCGATTTCCTTCCTGGGACCTTGCAGACAAGGCGGTGTGTCTCCCGGTAGGTTCTGTCACCAGACTGAAAAAAGTGTCACCTCAACTTGTGTGTATTTCCATGTTCAAAATGCTTAAATAAGGTCATATGTCATAACTCTTCCCCCCATACATCACATGATCGTAGAACCTTCAAGGAAAGAACGGTGGCTCAAAGGTGAGCTGACTGACACCAAACATGAGGGTTTTGTGATATAGTGTGGAGGAGTTCTGATGGAGGATAGTATGGAGGAGTTACAAGGCGGTGTGTCTCCCGGGGGGGTTCTGTCACCAGACTGGAAAAAGCGTCACCTCACCTTGTGTGTATTTCAATGTTCAAAATGCTTAAAAATGGTTATGTCATAACTCCTCCCCCATACATCACATGATCGTAGAACCGTCAAGGAAATAATTTTGGCTCAACGATTAGTTGACCGATACTAAACCGATCATATAGTATGGAGGAGTTCTGATGGAGGAGATCTGATGGAGAATAGTATGGAGGAGATCTGATGGAGGATAGTATGGAGGAGTTCTGATGGAGGATAGTATGGAGGAGATCTGATGGAGGATAGTATGGAGGAGTTCTGATGGAGGATAGTATGGAGGAGTTCTGATGGAGGATAGTGTGGAGGAGTTCTGATGGAGGATAGTACGGAGTTCTGATGGAGGAGAGTATGGAGGAGATCTGATGGAGAATAGTGTGGAGGAGTTCTGATGGAGGATAGTATGGAGGAGTTCTGATGGAGGATAGTATGTAGGAGTTCTGATGGAGAATAGTATGGAGGAGTTCTTATGGAGGATAGTTTGGAGGAGTTCTGATGGAGGATAGTATGGAGGAGTTCTGATGGAGGATAGTATGGAGGAGTTCTGATGGAGGATAGTATGGAGGAGATCTGATGGAGGATAGTATGGAGAAGTTCTGATGGAGGATAGTATGGAGAAGTTCTGATGGAGCATAGTATGAAGGAGTTCTGATGGAGGAGTTCTGATGGAGGAGTTCTGATGGAGGATAGTATGGAGGAGTTCTGATGGAGAATAGTATGGAGGAGTTCTGATGGAGGATAGTATGGAGGAGTTCTGATGGAGGATAGTATGGAGGGGTTCTGATGGAGGATAGTATGGAGGAGATCTGATGGAGGATAGTATGGAGGAGATCTGATGGAGGAGAGTATGGAGGATAGTACGAAGGAGTTCTGATGGAGAATAGTATGGAGGAGTTCTGATGAAGGATAGTGTGGAGGAGTTGTGATGGAGGATAGTATGGAGGAGTTCTGATGGAGGATAGTATGGAGGAGTTCTGATGGAGGATAGTATGGAGGAGTTCTGATGGAGGATAGTATGGAGGAGATCTGATGGAGGATAGTATGGAGGAGTTCTGATGGAGGATAGTATGGAGGAGTTCTGATGGAGGATAGTATGGAGGAGTTCTGATGGAGGATAGTATGGAGGAGTTCTGATGGAGGATAGTATGGAGGAGTTCTGATGGAGGATAGTATGGAGGAGTTCTGATGGAGGATAGTATGGAGGAGTTCTGATGGAGGATAGTATGGAGGAGTTCTGATGGAGGATAGTATGGAGGAGTTCTGATGGAGGATAGTATGGAGGAGTTCTGATGGAGGATAGTATGGAGGGGTTCTGATGGAGGATAGTATGGAGGAGATCTGATGGAGGATATTATGGAGGGGTTCTGATGGAGGATAGTATGGAGGAGATCTCATGGAGGATAGTATGGAGGAGATCTGATGGAGGATAGTATGGAGGAGTTCTGATGGAGGATAGTATGGAGGAGTTCTGATGGAGGATAGTATGGAGGAGTTCTGATGGAGGATAGTATGGAGGAGATCTGAAGGAGGATAGTATGGAGGAGTTCTGATGGAGGATAGTATGGAGGAGGTCTGAGGGCATGGAGGATAGTATGGAGGAGTTATGATGGAGGATAGTATGGAGGAGTTCTGATGGAGGATAGTATGGAGGAGATCTGAAGGAAGATAGTATGGAGAAATGGAGATACTAGCTCTAGAGGTAATTGGGCCTGGTTTAGCTAACCTGTACCTGCTAGTGAGAGCGGTGTGTGTGTTCTGCTGGAGCGCAGAGTGTACGGACTAGGGGCGTCCATGAAAAAGGTTCCTCACAAGCCTGGAAGTTGTGGGTGGTGGCAACTTAGATTAGTTTGTTTGTGTGTGCGTGTTGTTGTACGGCCTTACCGGCACATCTGCAGACCATGTGGTCGCCCCGCCTTCATCTATCACAGACACTCCAGATTTGCTTAGAATGTTCTGACAGTGACCGTGGTTAGTGGCCATCGATGGAAAAGTCGCTCTACAGTATACAAAGGGCCACACACGCCACCAAGGGGTTCATAGACGAGCAACCAGTGGCTTCTACCCCGTACATTGACTTGGTCACTGAACTCCTTCATCACAAGGTGACTATCCACGTGTTTCCGTTCAATGAGTCCCACTACCACCAGGTACAGGATGTGGCGATGGGCACGCCTTGTGCGCCCTCATATGCCAACTTGTATCTGGGGGAGGAGCGTGAAACTGAGCTCATTCCGATCACCAATGGAGGACTCTCTATGATGTGAGCTCATTCCGATCACCAATGGAGGACTCTCTATGAACTGAGCTCATTCCCATCACCAATGGATGACTCTCTATGAACTGAGCTCATTCCCATCACCAATGGATGACTCTCTATGAACTGAGCTCCTTCCCATCACCAATGGATGACTCTCTATAACCCGAGCTCATTCCCATCACCACTGGAGGACTCTCTATGAACTGAGCTCATTCCCATCACCAATGGAGGACTCTCTATGAACTGAGCTCATTCCGATCACCAATGGATGACTCTCTATGAACCAAGCTCATTCCCATCACCAATGGAGGACTCTCTATGAACTGAGCTCATTCCCATCACCAATGGAGGACTCTCTATGAACCGAGCTCATTCCCATCACCAATGGAGGACTCTCTATGAACTGAGCTCATTCCGATCACCAATGGATGACTCTCTATGAACCAAGCTCATTCCCATCACCAATGGAGGACTCTCTATGAACCGAGCTTATTCCCATCACCAATGGAGGACTCTCTATGAACTGAGCTCATTCCCATCACCAATGGAGGACTCTCTATGAACCGAGCTCATTCCCATCACCAATGGAGGACTCTCTATGAACTGAGCTCATTCCCATCACCAATGGATGACTCTCTATGAACCGAGCTCACTCCCATCACCGATTGTTGAAGAATTCTGGTAATTTGTGAAGAATGGGTCTCAGAACAGGATATTGAAGTGTGAAGAACGTTCTTGTTTATTGTACAGAGTCAGATGGAATGATGAACACACAATACGATGAAGCTTGAATCTCAATAAAACATTTATCATAGTTATTAACAATTCTACGTTGGCCGGACCAATGAAAATCTAGGAAAACAAAGACCAATGAGGTGCAGCAGGCAATAGAAATCTATATACAGAGCTGTCTATGGATTCTCGTACTTGGCCATGTATTAGTTGTATGGGGCCGTCTGTGTGAGTGTGGGAAAAGTCAGCAAGGAAAAAAAGAGGAATGAGGACACCCCTATGTGAGGTGTAAGAGAGCCGGGAACTGTAGAAGATCTCACCGTTGGAGCCTCCGAAAGAGACTCAACACAATGGACTCCACGCAGGATGGATCCTTTATAAATTATTTTCATGCATTTCTTCTACACTTCCACCTGGTACATCCCCCCCTTACATTTCCCAACTTTGTCAGCAGCTGAGTGTCCTCGCATGTCATATAAGATTGCTTTATAGTTAAAGCATTTTCCACACTTGACGCGTGAAAAAAACAAAACTTCCCCCTAATTGTGAATTTTCTGATGTTGAACAAGTTGTCTTTTCTCAATAAAACTTTTCCCGCACACCGAGCACGAGAAAGGACGCTCGCCCGTATGTATTCTCTGGTGTATAACTAGCGCAGTTTTCATAATGAAACCTTTACCGCACACTGAGCACGAGTGAGGACGCTCGCCTGTGTGAATTTTCTGGTGTATCCCAAGTGCTCCTTTCTGAGTGAAACATTTCCCACACACTGAACACGAATAAGGGCGCTCACCTGTGTGGCATCTGTGATGTATTAGCAGCTTTGATTTCTCGGCAAAGCTTTTCCCACACTCTGAGCACGAATAAGGGCGCTCACATGTATGAATTTTCTGGTGGGAAACAAGGCTTCCTCTGTGAGTGAAACGCTTCCCACACTCTGAACATGCATATGGACGCTCACCCGTGTGACTTCTCTGGTGTGAAATGAGACCTGCCCTGTGAGTGAAACTTTTCCCACACTCTTTACATGAGAAAGGACGCTCACCTGTGTGACTTCTCTCGTGTTCAACAAGGTTTACTTTGTGAATGAAACATTTCCCACACGTTAAACATGAATAGGGACGCTCACCCGTGTGACTTCTCTGGTGTTGAAGAAGAGTCTTTTTCAGAATGAAACATTTCCCACACGTTGGACATGAATAAGGACGCTCACCCGTGTGACTTCTCTGGTGATTAAGAAGGTCTCCTTTCACAGTGAAAGAAAACCCGCACTCTAAACATGAAAATGGACGCTCACCCGTGTGACTTCTCTGGTGTTTAGTAAGGTTTCCTTTTTGGCTGAAGCTTTTCCCACACTCTGAACATGTATAAGGTCGTTCACCTGTGTGACTTCTCTGGTGGGCAACAAGGCTTCCTTTGTGAATGAAACATTTCCCGCAATCCAAACACGCAAACGGACACTCGCCTGTGTGGTTTCTCTGGTGTGAAAGAAAGTGTGCTTTCTGAGTGAACGTTTTCCCGCACTCTGAACATGAAAAAGGACGGTGACCCGTGTGATTTCTCTGGTGCAGAAGAAGGCTTCCTTTATGGGCAAAACACTTCTTGCACACTGAACACGAATAGGGACGCTCGCCCGTGTGACTTCTCTCGTGTCTAATGAGACATCTTTTCTCACTGAAGCATTTCCCACACTGAGAACATGAAAAGGGGCGCTCGCCCGTGTGAGTTCTCTCGTGTATGTCAAGGGATTTTTTCTCAGTGAAACACTTCCCACACTCTGAACATGAGAAAGGACGCTGACCTGAGTGACGCCTCTGGTGTCTAACAAGGTTTCCTTTTAAAGTGAAGTGTTTCCCGCACTCTGGGCACGTGAAAGGACGCTCACTCTTGTGGCTTTTCAAGTGTTTAAGAAGAAATTTGTTTTCAGTGAAAGCTATCCCGCACACTGAGCATGACCAGGAACTCTCTCCCGGGTGATCTCCTCCATGCCTGGAAGATGATTCCTTGGGATTGGAGGGAGGTGTTGATCTCTTCGCACTCTGAGATCTCAGAGGTCGATCTGGAGTAACAGTCTGTGATGGACCAAAAGGTTCCTCAGGATTAGAGGGATCCATTGATGTTTCGGAGCGGGAAGGTCGGTGATGTCTCTTCCCGGCATAGTGTCCATCTGTAGGAGAGAAAGATCCAGAAATAATGTTACAGATCCGTTTCATGTCTCACATTCCGGAGTCATATATGGGGGTCCAGAACTCAGCACATTCACCGAGATCTGCCATGGGATTGGGAGCAACACCGAACTATGAATCCGAATAAGATCAATGAGACAATTCACCCAAACTACACCGGGAGAGAATGCGTGTACATTGATGTCATTGTTACTGTGAGAGTGGAGATGGACCTTCCTCCACCTCAATTCTAGGAGACCAACTGAAGACCAGAGATGGACCTTCATATGGTGTGCAATATCTCCTCCTCATTTGTTGGTCACATGACGTTATATTGAGGAATGGAGATGGACCTTCATATGGTGTACAGTATCTCCTCCTCATTTGTTGGTCACATGACGTTATATTGGGGAATGGAGATGGACCTTCATATGGTGGACAGTATCTCCTCCTCATTTGTTGGTCACATGACGTTATATTGGGGAATGGAGATGGACCTTCATATGGTGTACAGTATCTCCTCCTCATTTGTTGGTCACATGACGTTATATTGAGGAATGGTGATGGAATGGGTGGTGAAGTAAATACAGAGATAACATTCTTCTGATTTGTATACTGGTTTTTAAATTTCCACCTCAGTTGGATGTTGGGATCGATGCGAGTTATTGAAGGTAAGCCATAATAGTTGAAAATGAGAATTATTGGATCACCGTTTGCCTTGTGGCATTAGAAAGTTTATCCTGAATGGAAAATTGGACCAAGTTTTCTATTGGTTTTCTGCCTTTAATTGGACCTACAGCAGGTTCCTGATTTTATTTGAGGGGGTGATAAATATGAACATTTATGACTCACTTGTGTCCATACGTTGAGAAGGTTCCTCCGGCTTACCCTTCATCATCTCCCCCTCCTTCATAGACTGCGGAGCTCCACTCACCAACGTCTCTTCTTCTTTCCCTTTAACACCCTAAGCCCCAAAAATGATAGAATACCATTTAGAGACATAGAAGAATGTTGTCTCGTACTTGAACTTTTACCTGCTGTCCTTCAGATCCACCTACCTGATCATGGTGGGGGAGGGTGAGATCTTCCTGGGTGGGATCCCGGGAATACAGAGGGCGGGGACATCTCTCTGGTGGGTTCCTCTTACTGGATCCATCTGTAGGAAACACACACACTGACTGAATACATTGTTTCTATGTGTGTATCAGATGATGGGGGATGTAGGCGGAGCCTCCGTACTGCTCTCTCCTCTTACCCGGTGATGTGAGGGGCGGGGCATTCTCCATCACCACGTCCTTGTAGAGATCCCGGTGTCCTTCTAGATACTCCCACTCCTCCATGGAGAGATAGACAGAGACATCCTGACACCTTATAGGAACCTGACACACACAATGATACCGTCACCACCCAGACACGCCCCTTGTCTGTTCCTGGACCATGTCCCAGAATTCCCGGCACCGCTCACCTCTCCCGTCACCACCCAGACACGCCCCTTGTCTGTTCCCGGATCATGTCCCAGAATCCCCGGCACCTCTCCCGTCACCACCCAGACACACCCCTTGTCTGTTCCCGGATCATGTCCCAGAATCCCCGTCACCGCTCACCTCTCCCGTCAGCAGCTCCATCATCTTCTTGGTGACTTCTAGAATCTTCTTGACACTCTTTTCCTCTGTTGTTAGGTGGTGAGGTGGAGGCTCTGTGATGGGTGATGCTCCATGAAGACATCTGTTGGGTGTTAATGGCTCACCAGATATTTTCTTTACTATTTTATAATCCTGAGTAATGATAGAAAGTAACAATTAACCCTACAAACTTCCCAGAATCCTCCTCACCCCTCTAGTCAGGCCTGTAGTCACAGCGATGTCATGTGACCTCCTAGAATCCTCCTCACCTCTCCGGTCAGCAAGTAGATGATTTCCAGGGTGAGGTCTAATATCCGCTCAGTCGTGTGACTTTGGTCTTTGTCCATGCTTACTGATGTGGTCATGTGACCTATTTAGGACTCTCCTCCCTGTAGACGGATAATACATTGAGAATTATCTGGACTGTATTGGGATGAATGATGTCTACACAGAGTTCCTCCATCGTTCTGACATCTCAGGTGGCTTCTTATACCTTATTACAGGTTTAATTTATCAATGATGGTCTATAAATGGCGGCTCTGGATGGACAGTTGGATAAATGGCTCTATATTTAGGATGTACCTGGTCTATAAATGGCGGCTCTAGATGGACAGTTGGATAAATGGCTCTATATTTAGGATGTACCTGGTCTATAAATGGCGGCTCTAGATGGACAGTTGGATAAATGGCTCTATATTTAGGATGTACCTGGTCTATAAATGGCGGCTCTAGATGGACAGTTGGATAAATGGCTCTATATTTAGGATGTACCTGGTCTATAAATGGCGGCTCTAGATGGACAGTTGGATAAATGGCTCTATATTTAGGATGTACCTGGTCTATAAATGGCGGCTCTAGATGGACAGTTGGATAAATGGCTCTATATTTAGGATGTACCTGGTCTATAAATGGCGGCTCTAGATGGACAGTTGGATAAATGGCTCTATATTTAGGATGTACCTGGTCTATAAATGGCGGCTCTAGATGGACAGTTGGATAAATGGCTCTATATTTAGGATGTACCTGGTCTATAAATGGCGGCTCTAGATGGACAGTTGGATAAATGGCTCTATATTTAGGATGTACCTGGTCTATAAATGGCGGCTCTAGATGGACAGTTGGATAAATGGCTCTATATTTAGGATGTACCTGGTCTATAAATGGCGGCTCTAGATGGACAGTTGGATAAATGGCTCTATATTTAGGATGTACCTGGTCTATAAATGGCGGCTCTAGATGGACAGTTGGATAAATGGCTCTATATTTAGGATGTACCTGGTCTATAAATGGCGGCTCTAGATGGACAGTTGGATAAATGGCTCTATATTTAGGATGTATCCGGTCTATAGATAACATAAACAATGTATTACCTCTTCTGCTACCAATTGCAGCTTTGTCTCCTATGTTTTCACCTCTCACCTGGAACTTCCTGTTTGTATCCCACCTCACTTCCTGTTTTTACTGATCTCACTTCCTATTTGCGCTTCAGATCATTTTCGGTCTGTGCGTTCCACTGAGGATCTGTGAGGTCACCATCTTGTGGAGGATATCATAACTGCAGCTTTTATTGTCTTTCAATGCCGTCAGCTCCTTCTTGGTGCATCCAGATACAGAAGACAAAATTCCAATGCTTACCATAATTTTTCTTGTTCCTGGTCGCTCCTTTTGTCAGTATTTTACCGGTCAGCCTCACCCTTTAAGCCCACATTGCAGCCCCCCGAACTAGTCTTTAAGTCCTTCTTATCTAGGACCCTCCAACGTTACTTTACTAGACTCGAAACAGAACACCGACCGGGAAAGGATAATAACGGAAACTATCTGAGAAACAACTTTCCTGGTCTTCCTTAGCATACTACGGGACCTATCTATCAATGGGCAGGAGAATACTCCATGTCAATGTTGCGATCCCACCTTGCAGTTGTGTCTCCGACAAATTTAGTGTGTTTACTGCTAGACAACAACCAGCCACAGAATCTATGTTTCAGTCTTCTGCAGGTCTTCCCTAAGCCTAGTGAGTTAGTTGCTTCCTCTTTTTGCTGGGAGGAGGCTCCTCCTGCAGGTCTTCTCTAAGCCTGGTGGGTTAGACTGTTCCTCCTTTTGCTGGGAGGAGGCTCCTTCTACAGGTCTTCCCTAAGCCTGGGGGGTTGATTGCTTCCTCTTCATACTGTGGGGAGGTTTCTTCTACAGGTCTTCCGTTAGCCTGGTGGGTTGGTTGCTTCCTCCTCTTGCTGGGAGGAGGCTCCTTCTGCAGGTCTTCACTAAGCCTGGTGGGTTGATTGCTTCCTCTTCATACTGTGGGGAGGTTTCTTCTACAGGTCTTCCGTTAGCCTGGTGGGTTGGTTGCTTCCTCCTCTTGCTGGGAGGAGGCTCCTTCTACAGGTCTTTCCTAAGCCTGGTGGGCTAGTTGCTTCCTCCTCTTGCTGGGAGGAGGCTCCTTCTAAAGGTCTTACCTAAGCCTGGTGGGCTAGTTGCTTCCTCCTCTTGCTAGGAGGAGGCTCCAGCAAGCTGTGTAGGGGGATTAACCTTCAAACTATTTCAGAGGTTTGGCTGGGGACATGGTACATTTTTGGGAGCCCCTTTCCAGAAAAAGCTCTCTTCCCTGGAGCTTCTACCCAGGTGGAGACCTGCGTGAGGTTCTACTGTCAGGGCCTGGCCGCAGCATGACCTGAGGGCTTTGGATACCAAGCTACTTGCTGGAGAGGATATCTGAATAAAGTTGGACTGGAGAAGGATTCTTCTTGCTAAAGAGTGCCTCAGAGGAGCTGGGTAGAAGCTGCCATCTGGACATTGTGGGAAGAATTCATCTCCCGTAGATCTGCTATTCCTATTCTACCCAATTGTGCTACTTCTGTTCCTCTGGTGAGGAGTCCGATGGGAAGTCTATTGCGAGGATGGAACCACGAAAAGGTGAACTCCGTAGAAACTTTCACCAGGAATGTTGGTGATGGCCTGAGGACAACATGATGATATTTGTGCAGAATGGTTCTTTGGAGAACAAAGCCCTCCAGGATGACACTATGGCCATCAGCAAAGCTTCTATCTCAATCAGGTGCCATAGGATGAGGGCAAGAAGAACCAGCATCAAATACAACTTTGAGAACACCAACCAGAGAGGAGGTCTGCTGATCATTGTTGTTCTTGAGAACTTCAAAAAGAGATTGACACCCTGAGAGCTGTAATTCAGTCCCTGATGGTAGAGATGACTCCAGAAGATCTAAGATGTGATTCACCACAAGATATATTAAAAAAATCATCTACCACAGCCTACAACACGTGGTTCTGGTCACCAGTTTGGTGGACTTTAAATGGATAGCTCTGACTAAAGATGAAAGGCATTGGTGTCCCGTAGGTATCTTCATCTAAAGACGTCAGCCATCCTAAACATCCTAGGGGCCAAAAGAGCATGCTGACCCAGCACTTGAGGACCACGAAGGCAGAAGACGATTCAAGATAAATGGTGGCTACTTGGGGAGATCACAAGGTCCGCCTTCATAGTCTTCTAGAAGGAGATCAGCTGGAGTATTTGTGATTGATGGACTTATTTTCTGACAAGAAAAATTCTAGATTCTGGTTGCCCATTTTGAACATTTCTTCAGAGATCTGTAGAAGTGATGGACTCCGGATCTCACCTCAATCTTCTAAAGATATGCCTACTGAGGTCCTGTTGTCCATCATGATTTTGACTTGGTGACCTTGAAGTAAAAAATCAAAGGACTCTCAACATTTCCTCTATTGCTTGCAGTTCTAGAAGTTTGAACTTTGGACGATTGAAGCACTGAGCTTGATATCCTGTGTGACCCCTGTGACTCCAGATCATCCTGTGTGACCCCTGTGACTCCAGATCATCCTGTGTGACCCCTGTGACTCCAGATCATCCTGTGTGACCCCTGTGACTCCAGATCATCCTTGTGACCCCTGTGACTCCAGATCATCCATGTGACCACTGTGACTCCAGATCATCCTGTGTGACCCCTGTGACTCCAGATCATCCTTGTGACCCCTGTGACTCCAGATCATCCTGTGTGACCCCTGTGACTCCAGATCATCCTGTGTGACCCCTGTGACTCCAGATCATCCTGTGTGACCCCTGTGACTCCAGAGCATCCTGTGTGACCCCTGTGACTCCAGATAATCCGGTGTGACCCCTGTGACTCCAGATCATTCTGTGTGACCCCTGTGACTCAGATCATCCTGTGTGATGCCCATGACTCAGATCATTCTGTGTGACCCCTGTGACTCCAGATCATTCTGTGTGACCCCTGTGACTCAGATCATCCTGTGTGATGCCCATGACTCAGATCATTCTGTGTGACCCCTGTGACTCCAGATCATCCCGTGTGACCCCCCTGACTATCCTGTGTCATCCAGTGACCCCTGAGCCTCTTATGTCAGCCAGTGACCCCTGAGCCTTCTGTGTCATCCAGTGACCCCTGAGTATCCATGTTTTTGACCCTATAGACTTCAATGGGAGCGTCTGAGAATAAGCAACAGAAGTGTTTTACCGCCTTTTTTCTTGGCACATCTTTTTACGCGTCTTTGTGCCTAACATCCGGTCCTAGAAAAAACACCTCCTAGCAAACTCGGACCTGATAATGAAATGGAGGATTCAGGATTATCTGTGCTGGATGCAGAGACTTCATCCTCCTGGTGAGGGCCCAGAAGAACCTCTACAACCCCAGTGGTGCCCATTACAAGAACCTCTTCGACCCTAAAGGTGCCCATTACAAGAACCTCTACAACCCCAGTGGTGCCCATTACAAGAACCTCTACGATCCCAATGGTGCCCATTACAAGAACCTCTACGATCCCAATGGTGCCCATTACAAGAACCTCTACGATCCCAATGGTGCCCATTACAAGAACCTCTACGATCCCAATGGTGCCCATTACAAGAACCTCTACGATCCCAATGGTGCCCATTACAAGAACCTCTACGATCCCAATGGTGCCCATTACAAGAACCTCTACGATCCCAATGGTGCCCATTACAAGAACCTCTACGATCCCAATGGTGCCCATTACAAGAACCTCTACGATCCCAATGGTGCCCATTACAAGAACCTCTACGATCCCAATGGTGCCCATTACAAGAACCTCTACGATCCCAATGGTGCCCATTACAAGAACCTCTACGATCCCAATGGTGCCCATTACAAGAACCTCTACGATCCCAATGGTGCCCATTACAAGAACCTCTACGATCCCAATGGTGCCCATTACAAGAACCTCTACGATCCCAATGGTGCCCATTACAAGAACCTCTACGATCCCAATGGTGCCCATTACAAGAACCTCTACGATCCCAATGGTGCCCATTACAAGAACCTCTACGATCCCAATGGTGCCC